TATGGTACCGGCAAATCGCCGAGACGTCCACGTCCCCCCTGCAAGGACAGCTTTAGGGCCAACCACCGGGCACCGGGCACACCCGCCGCTGCCACGTCCCCGCGCACTCACCAGCGGGCCTGGAAGACCCCGAAAAAGGTGGTGTCCTGCCAGTCGGCCCCTGGCAGGGTGAAGACGGCCTGGGGACGGCGGTTGAAATGGAGCTGCTGCTCCGGCGCCGAGCACACCAAACGAGCCTTCAGGAAGGTCGTCCACTTCTTCTGCAGCGTGCGGGCACCGCCAACGTCCCCCTGGGCACCCAGCTGGCATCAAGACGGGGCCGCCGCGCTCCCCGGCGGAGCGCAAACCGCGCCAGGCCGGCGTCTCCCCGGCACGGGGTTGTCCCCTCGCCGTTACCTTGCAGACCCGTGCCACGCGGGCCACCACCTGCTCCGCGTAGCAGTCGTACTCCACCGCCCGCTCGCTGAAGAAGAAGTAAACCTTGTCATCGTCGCCGGTGCTGCTGCCCGCGCTCTCCTGCACGTACGCCGACGCCACGAAGTGGGGCTCTGTGGGAGGGGGCGCAAAGAGAGGGGTGATGCCAGGGCAGGGCAGGGGGTGCCCGCGCCGTCGTCCCTGCCACGTCTCCCCTACCCTACCTACCGTTGAGCCAGGAGGTGAGATATTCCGTCTTCATGGAGTAGTGGGGGCCCAGGTTGCGGAGGATGACGGGCTCCGTGCCCAGGAAGTTGTTGAAGGTGGCCGAGTAGAGCTCCCCATCTGCGAGGCAAGGGTTTAGGGAGGGGGACAGGGGGCATGGCCGGCATGCCCCCAACCCTGGCAGATGTCCGGCAGTGCCACCTACCCACGATGAGGCCGGTGTGTCCCTTGGTGGGGTCGTACGGGCACTTCCCTTTGCCATCCTCAAAAGCCACTTGGTCCAGGGTGAAGCCAGAGAGTTCCTGCGGGGCAAAGGCATGGGTGGGGGTCCCGACCCCCTCCCCGGGTCATGTCACCCCACGCCCAAACTGGCCCCAGGAACACAGACACCCCCCAGATGACCCTCCTGGGGACAGGGGCACCCCCAGATGATGCTTCGGGGACAGGGACACCCCCAGTGCCCCCCCTGGGCACAGGGTCAGCTCTGGACCACCCTCCAGAGCACAGGGACACCCCCAGTGTCCCCCTGGGCACAAGGACAGCCCTGGATCACCCTCCAGGGCACAGGGACACCCCCAGTGCCCCCTCGGGCACAAGGACAGCCCTGGACCACCCTCTGAGGCACAGGGACACCCCCAATGCCCGCCCTGGGTACAGGGACAGCCCTGGATGACCCACTATGGGGACAGGGACACCCTGAAATGATGTTCCCAGGGACAGGGGCACCCCTGAACAACCCTCCTGGGCACAGGGACACCCCCAAAAGACCCCCCCAGGCACAAGGACGCTCCCGTATGACCCATTATGGACAGAGCCACCCCCCTAGATGCCCTCACTGGGCACAGGGACACCTCTAACAACCCTCCGAGGGGGTGGGGACACCCCTGCACCCCCATCACGGGAACAAAGCCTGCCCTAAACCACCCTCCTGCACCCAGCGACACCCCTGAATGCCACCCCTAG